TTTCAGGTCAGGATGTCGGCCAGGGAGCGTGACGTGACGGGGCATGTCGGGACTTGCCGAATATTTATATATATGTTTTGGACTGTATAACTATGACTTACGCTTCCGCTTATCTTTTGATAACTTATGATGATGTTTTTGATATGTTTTGACGAACTTATCATATTTAGACGGACTTTTAAGAATGTAAAGTTTTTCAGTAACCAGACGTTTTTATTAAATTAAAACAACGGTTTTCTAAGTTAAGTAAGGATCTTTCACGGTAGCACCCCAAAACAGTTTCGCAAAGTAAAAATGTTTTAGTTTTCAAAAACTTTGCGAATAATTGCGCAACTCTGATTTATCTAGTAAGGTGGGGTGTTACATAGTGGGAGGGTTTCTACACAACCCGACCGATGGATAGGTCTTGGAGAGTCATCGGACTGAGTTCCAGAGACCTAGAATCGGACCCAAGAACTTATGACGAGACACTCCAAGATAGAGATGCAAATTCATGGAAGGTTGCAATGAAAGCTGAGATGGGGTCTATGGACACCAATCAGGTCTGGGATCTTGTAGAACCACCCGATGGGATACGTCCCATTGGATGCAAGTGGGTTTACAAGAGAAAGAGGGGAACGGATGGAAAGGTGGAAACCTTTAAAGCTAGGCTTGTTGCGAAAGGTTATACCCAGAAAGAGGGTATCGATTATGATGAAACCTTTTCGCCAGTAGCTATGCTTAAATCCATTCGGATTCTCTTTAGATGTAGCCACTCATATGGATTATGAAGTCTGGCAGATGGATGTTAAGACGGCTTTCCTTAATGGGAACCTTCAGGAAGACATCTATATGCAGCAATCAAAAGGATTCATTGCAAGAGGGCATGAGCACTTAGTTTGTAAGCTTAATCGGTCCATTTATAAACTGAAGCAAGCTTCAAGATCTTGGAATATTTGGTTTGATGAGGTAATCCAGTCATATGGATTCACTCAATGTCCGAATGAGCACTGTGTATACAAGAAGATTAGTGGAAGCGTGGTGGTGTTTCTTGTGCTATACGTGGATGACATACTTCTTATTGGCAACAACAGGAAGGAGTTGTCGGACGTAAAGGTGTGCTTGTCTAAGCAGTTTGATATGAAGGACTTGGGTGAAGTAGGACACATTCTTCGTATCAAGATCATTCGTGATCGTGAGAAGAGAATGATGTGCTTATCCTAGTCTTCATATATAGATAGTGTCTTGGCTAGATTCAGTATGCAGAACTCTAAGAGAGGTACATTACCTTTCAGACATGGAGTACCTTTATCTAAGGAGTTGTCTCCTAAGACGACTGAGGAGATAGAGAACATGAAGACAGTTCCTTATGCTTCGGCAGTAGGAAGTCTCATGTATGCAATGCTGTGCACTATGCCTGATATTAGCTACGCCGTTGGCATGGTAGCGAGATATCAAAGTAATCCAAGAAGGGAACATTGGGCTGCGGTGAAACATATACTCAAGTACCTGCGAAGGACTAAGGAGTACATGTTAGTTTACCGTGCAGACAGTTTGTTTCCGCTGGGTTACAGCGATTCTGATTTTCAGTAAGATAGGGACAAAAGTAAGTCAACCTCAGGTTATGTGTTTACCTTGGGAGGTGGAGCCATTTCATAGAGGAGTGCTAAGCAGAAGTGCGTAGCAGACTCCACTATGGAAGCCGAGTACATCGCAGCCTCTGAGGCAGCGAAAGAGGCAGTTTGGCTCAGAAACTTCTTGGTGGACTTAGAGGTGATTCCGAGTTTGCCACGTGTTATTACCGTGTAATGTGATAACAGTAGAGCAGTAGCAAACTCAAGGGACCCACGAGCCCACAGAGCAAGCAAACACATAGAGCGCAAATACCACCTTATTAAAGATATTGTGGCAAGAGGAGAAGTTGAGATCACCAAGATTACATCAGAAGACAACCTAGCTGATCCTTTTACGAAGAGTTTGCCGGAGAAGGTCTTCGCCAAACACGTAGAGGGAATGGGAGTCAAATGTATGGTGATTGGATCGACATAGGTCTTTTAGGATACGGATTGATAGAACTATACTAGTAAAGCCGCCTCTTTAAGTATAAGTTGGAGATTGTTGGTGTTATATACTTAAGCTTTGCTTTAGTGGATATTACACTTGTTATTTCTTGATGGATGAGAATTATGTTTGGTTAAATTAGTTCCACGTTCTGTTGTTTTGCATTTAGATAAGTGGGTCGTCATCGGGCGTACCAAAGATCACTATATCAGTTACTTGCGAAACAAGAATCATTGGTTCACAACCTAGATGCAATTGAACAACCCATCGGAATGGTTGTAGTGTCAACCGTACGGTTTGTCTTGACCGATTAGTTGCACTAGTACATTTATGTATTGAACAGGATCCCAGAGAGGGATGTTCATTTTATACTGATCGTCGTAAACGAACTAGGCCTCAGTTAATTATTGCATGCTCTTAAACCATAAGATATTAAATAGGCATGTGCACATAATTGTTGTTGCTTTGATTGTTTGGGTGAGATCCAAGCCGGGTCGACATACTTAATGAATTGGGTAATGACATTATGTGTTCGATGTGCTATTAGGATATTTACGGTCACCATGTGCGTTAGTCTGATGATGTCCCCGAAATGAGTTCATGAAGGAATATTATGCTAAACCCTGTAGGTGGATTTATTCCGGCATAATATGAATGCTATGAGCGAGTGCTAGCTTCGGTAATATAATATATTAATTAATTCTTGATTATCAGTGATCGAATTAATTAATGGACATTATATCTTAAACGAGGGGAGGTAAATCGGATAATTATAATAAGGAGTCTCAAATGTAATTTGGGATAGGTGAGGGGAGTGCAATAATATTATTGTGGTGGACTTTAATATTATTAATATATTAATTGTGGGGTTGCTCCACAGTATTTATATATTAGAAGCCCTTATCCTATTCTCCTTAGGGTCCCTACTGTAGCTCTATATATACAGCATTAGGCTCTTGGAAGAGAACATACAATCCCATAACCTAGCAAACACGTCCACCCCTCTCTCTCTCTCTCTCTTCCAAGGAGTTGTTCGATTTCTTGTGCTCCACTGATACAAGATCTAGATAGTTGTTTGAGAATACAGTAGAAGATCTTAAGGTATATACGGGATTCCAGTCAAATCTATCATCCACCCAAACTGGAGACCAAAACCAGCAAGTGACCATACCACGACGACCAGGACGACGAGTCGGAGAGATCGCCGTCGAGATCGCTGCCAGCCGCCGCCGCACGCGCCTACACGCGCCACCGGAGGATTGCTGCTGAGACTCACACGTGCGCATGAGAGCGCGTGGAAGCTCCGATTCCCGACCGGTCAACACCGTTGACTTCGCCGTGACGCCAGCTTTCTGGATTGGTCAAGTTTGTTCGATTCCGAGGAGATTTGATTTGCAGTCATCCGTTCGGGTCAGCCAGATCTACATAAATTTTAAGCCGTAAGTTTCCTACATCAAACCTTTAGATCCGCTGCGCATAGGTTTATATTTGAATGTGTATCTGTGATTTGTGCATATCGAGATCCTCATAGATCCCAACAGGGTGGAGCTTGGATAAAAACATACTTCGACTTCCACACGGTAATGTTCGAGGAAAGATCATCGAGAAATGTGACGCCAACATGACGCCCCAGGCAATGAGCACCCTTTTGAAGGCGATAGCCACAGCAATAAAAGAAGAACTCGGGCGAAAAGAAATGGATAACTATACGGGAAACAACTATGAAGGCTATCATGATGCAGATAGCGTTCGTGGAAAACTGATTTATGGGTATTTTGTACAAGTCGCTGATCGACAAGAGTTCGTCCTGAATAGAAAAACAAAGGCCGAAGATGACTTGGTTGATGAAAATGGTATGACAACCAGAAGGGGGACGAGCAAAGTCATTCTCAGGGCCCAGGGCGACCAGCTCCCAATCAGAGGGAATTCAACTAAACATTCTAAAGCCCTCGATCTGAGCTGCAGAGGCATAAGAGAAAGGATTCAGAGCGGCCAACCTAGCCAAAGGACAAGCTATAGATACAACATTTCGAGAGTCGAAAGGGGTAATTATTGGTATATATACAGTACTTGTGCTATATACAGAAACATCTAATAACCTAATGGGAATACCTCGAGGGAAGAGGTCGAGACGGGGAGAACCCCCTTGAGGAGGACTTTTCGATATCTCTATCAAGCCACCCTCTATCAGCGCCTGGTCGTACTCAACCCATTCGATTTTTGGGGAAGAGGTGCGAGAAGGGGAGGAACAAGGAGAGGCATTAGCCATCCTATAACTAACTACCTCGTCTGAGTTGGACTGTTCGAGGCCCCTATCGATCAGGTTGTCGAGCGTGTTAGGGGAAGAGTCGGAATGGGAAGCTAAAAAGAAAAAGTTGAGGATAAAGTTAGTAATTATGAAATAAGAGAGGATAAGAGCAAATAAAGTCGAATCATGAAGAAAGACGATGGATAAAGACAGGCGATGAGGGGAACAAAGGATAATTCGAGAAAGAAATAAATTAGTAAGTCGACATGAGATGACTCGGGAAAGAAGAAAAGAAGCCGGTAGGGCGGTGAAAATCGACTTAGCAACAGAAGTCGATAACTGATAGGGCGAAAACAACAAATCCAAATAAGATACACATGCAAAGGATTCATGTAATATCCCGTCAGTTTATTGATATAAATCATGTTATTAGTTCCGATATAATAACGTTATCGATTATTATTTTCGGAATTAATTATTTTCAGTCAAAATCAACCGAAATTATTTTCGACATTCCGTTTACGTTCGGAATAATTTGGTAATTAAGCATTATGTTTAATTATAAAATTAAACCTAATGAGGTGATTAATTATCAAATAATCACAAGCTATTGTTCGAACCGTGCGGATTTCCCATAAATTATCCATTGCCGTGACATTACTTTGCATGTAGGAAACCAAATTTTTACCTTATCCCTTAAGTAGTGCTACGTGTCATCACAAGAGGATTTAAGGGTGATTAAGCATTTGGTGGTCTCTAAAATCCTAGCAAGTGGAAGTTAGGAATTTAGCAACATTATTACTTCATC